GTTGCTGCCCTATAGCAGTTTCACCTTATTGCTTCCTGCTACCCTTACTCAGGAAAAAAGTGCTCCATGATTGGAGGGATCAGAAAATCTATAGTGCAAACCAGGTCAGTTTTGAGAGTGAAGTGGAAACTTGTATTAGTACCTATTTATGCTATAATTTTATTATATCAACTAAATTAGTTGAGATATTAAATAAACTCAGAATAGTGGCTGGCATATAATGAGCACTCTACACATGTCAGTCATTTATCATGGACAGCTAGCCATATATCTCTTTACTGGTTTTCCTACTATTCCTTCTCTCCAACTCACTCTCCACTCTGCTTCCAAAGATATTTTTTGTAAAGTGCACATATTCAAGTCCTTTCTTCTGAGAAGCCTGTCAATGGCTTTTCCACTGCAAATGGAACACATAAATTCTCTTCTATTTGTTCTGAGTTCTCCCAACACTCACCCTTCAACTCAGCCATAGTTCTTGCAAGCCCAGCCTCCTCCCTTCTACCTCCATGTATTTGAAGCCAACTTTTGCTAGTCTTCCTCCTAAATTTTACCCACCAAAATTCTTCTTATATTTTAAATCCCTTTGTTTAGGCTCTTCTAGGTATTGTCAGACATAAATTTGTCTTTCTCTATTTTAATAATTATATTAATTTTAGCTATCATTTATTAGACTTTTTTGTCAGGCACTATTCAAAGTAAGCTCTTTACATGCTATTACCTTTTTTGTTGGAAAGAGAGGTCTAGACACATTTAACCATTGTTCAGTGCACAGAGTCGTAAGACTTATGACAGAAGTTAGAACTGTGTTCAATGCAAGGCAGAAAGTTGAGCCTGTAGGCTCTGAAATAAGACTGCCAGGTTTCTAACTCTGGTTCTATAATTTACTAATTATACATACTTTACTAATTATACATACATATAATTATATGTATGTATAATTATATGTACGTAAAATTATACATAATTTTCTAATTTACATACTTTACCTTATATGACTTTGGGCAGGTCTTTTTTTATTATTAAAACTGAGTAAACTCTATTTCTTTATATGTGCAGTTTATAATGACAATTGGCTCACGCCTGTAATCCCAGCATTTTGGGAGGCCAAGGCAGGTGGATCACCTTAGTTCAGGAGTTCAAGATCAGCCTGACTAACATGGTGAAACCCCATCCCTACTGAAAATACAAAATTTAGCCAGGCATAGTGGCAGCCGCCTGTAATTCCAGCTACTTGGGGAGCTGAGGCAGGAGAATTCGCTTGGACCTGTAAAGTGGAGGTTGCAGTGAGCCAAGATCGCACCATTGCACTCCAGCCTGGGCGACAGAGCCAGACTCCGTCTCAAAAAGGAAAAAGGATTGTTTTGGCACTTACGCTGTGAACATCTAAAACAAAAGATTGGAATTATTTTCTGTTATGTTTTCCACAATGCATTCTCAAGGTCAATGTATTACCTACTCAACAGAGGCACTTTTCAACTGTCATACATATTTCAGATATCATCATGGGGTTATATTGAAAACTCATGAAAGGATTCATGGATGTTTCTTGTGTAGGAACATGAAAATAGCTACAAATAAAATTCTGTCTTTAAAAGGAAAACTTCTAAATTTGGATGCAGTCAGATGGGACACACAGTTATGCTGACTTGATTGCCCCAAGTTGTGATTTCTTTACACAGTTCTTTGTCTTGCTTACAGTGTGTCCAATGTAACAATTGCATCCACTAAAAAAAAAAAAAAAAAAAAAGACAGTTACCTAACATGACTGAATTGATTTTCAAAGGTTACTAAGTCCTTCACAAACTCACTAAGAAGATACTGAACAAACAGAAATGCAGTTGCTTGACAAATGGTTTCAAAACTGCCTCATGGAAACAGGGTACCATGAAATGTCTTGTTATTTAGGCTGCAATAGGGCTGGAATATGGCAGGGCCGCTGCAGGAGGAGAGTGTTGGGTAGGAATCATCTCTACCATGGAGGGTAAGCCTTACGGCATAAAAATGAAGACAGAGTTTTAGTGATTATTTTTTCTCCTGACTTTTGCAAATGTTGGACCTTTTCCGACTCCATGCACATATATAGGTGGCAACACTGAGAATAATCCCCAGTATGCGGTGCAGGATGAAAGCAGCACCTTCCAAGTGTTTTACATCCTCCCTTCTATAAACTCTCTTTTCTTCAATGCCAGATAATTATTCTATTTTTTATTTTGCTTACTTCATATATAATTTTTATCTTTCTAGTCTCTTGTGGTGGAAGCTTGTGCCATTTATTTTGGAACGTTTTCTTTACTAATATATGTATTGTAATGCTCTAAATTTTTCTCTACTTACTGCTTTATTCTACAAATTTTTATGTTGTTTTTATTCTAATTCAATGTAGTATCATCTTTAATGATATCTGTGATTTCTTCCTATATTTATGAGTTATATACAAAGATATTGTTTGACTTCCAAGTATTTAAGGACATTTCAGATATCTTTCTAAAAGAGATTTCTACTTTCATTGTGTTATAGCCAGAGAATATATTTTGTATGACTTAAAGAGTTAAAGTTTATTGAAGTCTGTTTTATGGCCAATAATAAGTCGTAGTGAATGTTCCATGTACACATGAAAAGCTTCATTTCTTTTATTTTGGAGTAGAGTGACCTATAAAGGAGATTTTGGTCGAATGGGTAAAGTTGTTCAATGTCCGACAATATTATGAATTTTCTGTTTGCATGCCATGTTAATTAGTTACAGAAAAGTCTGTAAACTTAAACTATCATTTTGGATTTACTTCTCCTTTTTGTTTCTATATGTTGTGTTCTGGTTAAAATAAAGCACCAATTTATGTAAAAATATATTTGGGATTTAGTTCTCTTGATGAAGTGAACTGTCTAGCATGATAAAATTTTACTCTTTTCTCAGTAATATTTATTATTCAGACTCCACCTTTTTGATATTCATATAGCTTTCCCATTACAAGCTTATTAGCTATAGCCCTTTGTTTTATTTTTAAGTTGTTGTTCTACAAACTAAAATATTCATGTTTATGTAATATAGTCTACATTCAATAATATCTTACTTTTCATGACAAGGTAATAATATCAGTATGCTTTTATTTTCTCCTCATTCTCCCTTCTTTAAAACATTTATTTTAAGTTCAGGGGTAGAAGTGTAGTTTGTTACACAGGTAAACTTGTGTCATGGGAGTTTGCTGTACAGATTATTTCCTTGCCCAGGTATTAAGCCTAGTACCCATTAGTAATTTTTCCTGATCCTCTCTCTCCTCCTACCCCTAACCTCCAGTAGACGCCAGTGTGTGTGGTTCCCCTCTATGTGTCCATGTGTTCTCATTGTTTAGCTCCGAATTGTAAGTGAGAACATGCAGTATTTTGTTTTCTGTTCCTGTGTTAGGTTTCTAAGGATAGTGGCCTCCAGCTCCATCTATGTTCTGTAAAAGATATGATTTCATTCTTTCTTCCAGTTGCATAGTATTCCATGGTGTATATGTGCAACATTTTCTTTATCCAGTCTATCATTGATGAGCATTTAAGTTGATTCCATGTCTTTGCTATTGTGAAAAGTGCTGCAATGAACATACATGTGCATGTGTCTTTATAATAGAATAATTTATTTTCCTTGGCTATATACCCACAAACGGGATTGCTGGGTCTAATGGTGTTTCTCTCTTTAGGTCTTTGAAGAATTGCCACAGTTTTCCACAATGGCCAAGCTAATTTACACCAAGCAAGAACCCATCAACAGTATATAAGCATTCCTTTTGTTATTATACATTTACCTATATAGTTGAGAAGTCTTCCAAAAGTTTATGGAAAAATTAACATTATGAAAAACTTATGCATAGATTCTCAAAAATTTTTTCACCAAAATAAACTCATACTAACTGGTTACAATCTGTCTGAATAGGATATAGTTTGAGGCCCTAAGAAGGATAAGACATTCATTTGAAGCGTTCTTATCAAAGCTTCAGGTTTGCTGTTAAAATTGAAGCAAGAACAAACATCAAACTTAGAGTGAAGCTTTAATATCATTTTACTTTTGCCTGAGAAACTTATTTTAATATTTTGTTGTTGTTATTTGGGTATAATATCAACACAATACCTCATTTTTATGTGTTTGAAAAAGTTACCTTACCACTAAGTTTGAAGAAATATGTTACTGTTTTGTTGTTTCTTTTTGTATTTTAAAGACATTTCTACATTATATTTTGACTTTCACATTGTACTTAATACATCTTTTTCTCTATCTCTTTTTCTGCCATTTACATTTACAGTTTTCTCTGTATCTTTAAATTTCATGACATTATTATATGCCTTAGCATGATTTTCTTTGTCTTAATTTTGCTTACACATTACTGATCTCTGAGTTTTCATTAAATTTGGACAATTTTGCTCAATATTTTTAAAATATTTTTTTCTTTGCTACTCTCTTCTCCCTCTCAGTCTCTAATTACTCATGTTTTAAGCCATTTGATATTGTAATACGCCATAGTGCTCTCTACATATTTTTCAAACTTTTTTCTCTATGTGCTTCACTTTAAAGTTTTATTTGTGTGTGTATGTTTAAAACATTTTTTCTACAGTGTCTAAATAGTTAATTCCATTGAATTCATGAAATTAATGGAAGTGTTCAATGGAACAGTTAATTCCATTTGATGTCAATTTCACTTCAAATACTGAATATTTTCCCTTTAAATTTCCTTTTGTGTTTTAGAAATAAACTTTATTGTATATATTTAAGATATCCAACATGATATTGGATTAGTTAGGATTCTCTGGAGGGACAAAATTAATGGAATATATATGTAAAGGAATTTATTAAGTATTAATTCACACAATCACAAGGTCCCACAATAGGCCATCTGCAGACTGAGGAACAAGCAGAGCCAGTCCAAGTTACAAAAGTGAAGAACTTGGAGTCCAAGGGCAAGAAGCATCCAGCACAGGGGAAAGATGTAGGTCAGGAAATTAGGCCACTCTCTCTTCACATTTTTCTGCCTGCTTGTATTCTAGCCACGCTGGCAGCTGGTTAAGTTGTACCCACCCAGATTCAGGGTGGGTCTGCTTTTCCCAGCCCACTGACTCAAATGTTAATCTCCTTTGGCAATACCCTCACAGACACACCCAGGATCAATACTTTATATCCTTCAATCCAGTCAAGTTGACACTCAGTGTTAACCATCACAAGTCCACCCCTTGTCAACTTGAACCCATACACATTTCCTGAGATCATACATAATCTTCAAATAAAGACAATAAAAAGGCCATAATTATGCCTAACATAATACAACTATCATTCATACAACCAGAAACACACCAATCCCCAAGCCAAATACTATTACATAAAATTAACAATAGTTAAATGATATGAAGTCAATAAATTATATGTCACATGGTAAAGGAGAAAGGAAATAAAATGAAGATATTTTCTTATTACAAGTGTATACATGCACAAATATGTTTTTAACAAAAGAAGGAGGAAATACTCATGACAATTACAGTCTTAGTTTCTGCAGCTGATCACATGGTCATAGCTGGTATTGATGACTAACTTCTGCTACCCATTCTGTATTCATTTTGTCTTCAGCAAGCACCTCGGCAAGTCATGGGTGTTTTTTTTTTTCCTGGTGGAGTGACCCAAACCTTCATTCCTGAGGGGTCTGGACAATTTGTAGTCCTGCCTGGATTGAGCTGTTGTAGTTTCCCACTGACTTTAATCACAGGGCATGGTAATACTAAGAGATACCCTAATGCATCTCCTATATTCCGTGCACACTCTTCCTTACCTCCGTTGTGGAGTAGTAGACTGATTTCATCTTATAGTCTGAATTAATCACCCCAGCCAACACTGTAACTCCCTTTATAGCCTGTTGACTTGAAGATAGGAGGAACCCAAAGCGTCCATGTGGCAATCTTAACTTCCAGTTTAAGGGAATCATTGTTGTGTCTCCTGGTGGCAGTGTTCTCCCCTCTGGAATTAAGACCTCTAGGCCAGCAGAATGTAATACTGTGGGAACAGAAGGCAAAAATTTTGCCAGTGGATCACTAGGGGTGATTGTAGTGGGTGTCACTTCCATTTGCACCTCTTGATTCCTGGACCCGTGAATCCTGGCTATGGGAGAAACAGTACCATATATTGGACAGTGATTCAGAGCATACACCACCTTCTGGAGAACATTGCCCCAACCCAGTAAAGTGTTGTTAACTAATTGGCATTGTAACTGTGACTTCAAAAGGCCATTCTACCATACTATCAATCCAGGCGCTTCAGGATGATGGAAAACATGGTAAGACCAGTGAATTCCATGAGCATGTGCCCACTGCCACACTCCTTTGGCCATAAAGCGAGTGCCTTGGTCAGAGGCAATGCTATATGGAATACCATGATGGTGGATAAGGGATTCTGTGGTTCTACAGATGGTAGTCTTGGCAGAAGCATTGCGTGCAGATAGGCAAACCCATATCTGTAGTTAGTGTCTTTTCCAGTGAGGACAAACCTCTGCCTTTTCCATGATGGAAGAGATCCAATATAATCAACCTGCCATTAGGTAGCTGACTTATCTGACTTATCATCTCAAGGATGGTGCCATATTGAGGGCTCACTGTTACTGTCTACTGCTGGCAAATTGGGCACTCAGCAGTGGCTGTAGCTGGCTCAGCCTTGGTGAGTGGGAATCCACATTGCTGAGTCCACGCATAACCCCTCCCTGGACCATGGCCACTTTGTTCATGGGCCCATTGGGTGATGACAGGGGTGGCTGGGGAAAAAGGCTGAGTGGTGTCCACAGAATGGGTCATCTTATCCACTTGATTATTAAAATCCTCCTCTGCTGAGGTCATCCTTTGGTGAGCACTAGCATGGGATACAAATATCTTCACAGTTTTCAACCACTCAGAGAGATCCATCCACATACCTCTTCCCTAAATTTCTTTGTCACCAATTTTCCAATTTTGCTTCTTCCAAGTCCCTGACCATCCAGCCAAACCATTGTCTGCAGCCTATAACATACAGTTTATAAAGACATATCTGGCTATTTCTCCTTCCATGCAAAGTGAACAGTCTGGTGTGCTGCTTGAAGTTCTGCCCACTGGGGAGATTTTCCTTCACTACTGTCCTCAGGGATGTCCTAGAAAGGGGCTGTAGTGTTGCAGCTGTCCACTTTGGGGTGATGGCTGCATATCGTGCAGAACCATCTGTGAACCAGGCCCTAGTATTCTCTTCCTCTGGCAACTGATTATAGGGAACCCCCCATGAGGCCATCAGTGCAGGCTGGGGAAGAGAAGGTGGAATGACAGGAGTGGAGACCATGGGAATTTGAGCCACTTCCTTGTGTAACTTACTTGTGCCTTCAGAACCTCCTGGAGCCTGATAACATATATACTGTTTCCAGGTGATGATGGAATGCTGATAGAGAATGACCCACTTTATGGCTACATGGGTCGGAAAGCACCAGTTCATGATAGGCAGTTCGGGTCACATGGTGATTTGATGATTTGTAGTCACACGGTCAGTTTCCACCAAAGCCCAGTAACAAGCCAAGAGCTATCTCTCCAAAGGGAGTAGTTATCTGCAGAAGATGGCAGGCCCTTGCTCCAAAATCCTAGAGGCCTCCTCTGTCATTCACCCATGGGGGGCTGCCAAAGGCTCCAAACAGCATCCCTCTCTGACATTGACACCTCAAGCATGATTGGATCTGCTAGGTCACATGGCCCATGTGGCTTGCACAGCAGCCTGGACGTGTTGCAAAGCCTTCTCCTGTTCTGGACCACACTCAAAACTGGCAGAGTGTGCTCACTCAACAAATAGGCTGGAGTAACACACCCAGATGAGGAATGTGTTCCCTCCAAAATCCAAATAGGCCAACTAGGCATTTTGTCTCTTTCTTGGTTGTAGGAGGAGCCAAATGCAGCAACTTATCCTTTGCCTTAGAAGGAATATCTTGACAAGCCCCACACCACTAGACTCCTAGGAATTTAACTGAGGTAGAAAGTCCCTGAAATTTAGTCAGATTTCTTTCCTGTCATCTGCATGCAAATATCTCACCCATAAGTCCAGTGTGTTTGCTACTTCTTACTCACTGTATCCAATCAGCGTAATGTCATCAATGTAATGGACCCGTGTGAAATCTTGCAGATGTGAAAATTGCTGAAGCTCTCTCCAAATATGATTATAACGCAAAGCTGGAGAGTTGATACGTCTCTGAGGTAGGACAGTAAAGGTATATTGCTGGCCTTGCCAGCTGAAGGCAAATTGCTTCTGGTGGGCTTTATGGACAGGACTGGAGAAAAAGCTACTTGCCAGGTCAATGACTGAATACCAGGTACCAGGAGATGTGTTAATTTGCTTAAGCAATGAAACCACATCTGGTAGCAGCTGCAATTAGAGTCACCACTTGGTTAAGCTTATGATAATCCACTATTATTCTTCAAGATCCATTTGTCTTCTGCACAGGCCAAATGGGGGAGTTGAACAAGGACGTGATGGGAATCACCACCCCTGTGTCTTTCAAGTCCTTTATGGTAGCACTAATCTCTGCAATCCCTCCAGGGATGCAATATTGTTTTTTGATTTACTAATTTTCCATGCAGAAGCAGCTCTAATGGCTTTCATTTGACCTTTCCCACTATAATAGCCCTCATCCTACCAGTCAGGGGGCCAATGTCGGGGTTCTGTCAGCTGCTAAATATGTCTATGCCAATTAGGCATCTGACATTGGGGAAATGACGACAGGATGAATCTGGGGACCCACTGAACTCTTTGTGAGTTGGACCTGAGCTAAAACTCCTTTGATTGCCTGACCTCCATAAGTCTCTATTTTAACCAAAGGACCACCAATTAAGTTTTGGGTCCCCTGGAGTCAATGTCAGCTCAGAAGCAGTGTCCGGTAATCCCTGAAATGTCTGATCATTTTCCTTTCCCCAGTGTACAGTTACACTGATAAAAGGCTGGAGGTGTCCTTGGGAAAGGATGGGAGAAAGATTCACTGCATAAATTGTCAGCAATGTAGTGGGGTCCTTCCTCAAGGGGAACTGTCTACCCTTCATTCAAGGGGTTCTGATTCTGTAAACTGGCTCAACTCTGGAAATTAATGGAGGGGTCATGATTCTCTGTTTTTGTATTCTTTTTAGACTGTTGGATTTTTCAGGTGCTTAGTTAAGTTCCTAGAATATAATGGAAACTTTGTTTGTGCTTACTTGTAAGCTTTCTTAGGGAAGATCCAGAGAAAGTTTTAATCTAAGATTAACTTAGCCATCCTTCTAAGGTGGTATCCTACTGAGGAGATTATACATTTTCCTGTATAAGTTATTTCTGGTCAGGCTGTTAGTTCACTTATTTCCAGTCCCTTGTGCGATGTTATTCTTTTCCCTCCCGCTTTGTGTGGTTTTCTCCTTTCCCCATGGTTGTTTTCTCTTATGAACACATAGATCACACTCTGCTGAAGACTTAAGAAAACCTCTCTGCAGATCTCCTCAGCCCTGTCTTCATCTGTGCCATTCTGTTTTTCTGAAAATCTGCTCTCAAATCCTAGGCTTTGCCATTGTAAATGTTTATCTCTGTTCATAGGACCAAATTCTGTCCTTGAAGTAGTTGGAACATTAGACTCTGTATAGTTTCTTTTTCCTGAGTTGAAAATTGGATATAATACTCTTACATAAGATTGGACATAATATTCTTATAGGCATTAAGCCAGAGAAATTTTTATGGCTTACTTTGCTGTTTTTCTTTCCTCAGGGATCACAGTCCTGCACCATTTTATACATTGTGTCCAACTGTACAGTTAAGGTATAAACATTCATTTTAGCTGTGTTACTCCATCTTGTCACAAATTAACATTTGCATTAATATTTTACGAGCTTTTAAAAAATATTAGTTTGAAGATGCATCATAAGCTGTTTTATTTCAGCAAATGGAAGTGCTTGGCAGAAAAATATATGTGAAGTCAAATCCTGAGTAAATATAATTAGAACATGTCTTTTTCTGTATTAGTATGTATTAGGACAAGTTCACATTTGCAGATATAAAA